ATATATATATATATATATATATATATATATAATTATCAGGATTAGCTAAAAATGTTGCTATGATTTATTTTAATTTAGTGTAATACAACAAATGATTTGTGATTAAATATGAGCGCTCAAAAACGTTTGACTACACGAGTTTTGTCAAAACATGCAGAATATACGTAACTGCTAATAAGGTAAAATATGTTTCAATGTTTTATTTTTTGAAAGTGTTAAAACAAACGAAAAACCTTTTAAAGTCTTCGTGATTTTCATTTGCACATATCATTAATGCTCCGGCAGTTGGACACCATAATATCACTTTCAATCATTTAGGATTTTACAGAAGTTACAGGAACTTCAGTTTCATTTAGTTAAGTAAAATGTGTCTAATGTAAAAAACGAATAATGACAATAATGACATAAAGAGAAACAATTTACGACGTCTAAATATCAGAAATCAATTATGTTTGAATTAAAGGTCATTGGTCAAAATCTTTTATAGACAACTTTATAATGAATCATAATTATTAAATTAATATCTTGCTACTTGTTCAACCGTAATGATAAACGAAATACTTTTTGATCATTTCAGCTTCAGTTAATGAAAAAGTGCTTTTATAAATGTGATATATTAAAGGGCGGGGTTGCAGTTAGTTGTGGGCTCGTAAAAGTCAATCCTTTTCTTCTTAAATTCACGATAAAATGTAACCTTGGTTAACGTTGTGATTGGTCATGGACCGCACTGATCGTGTCGCTGACTGCTGTTCTTTCACTAATTGGTTTAAGTACTTATTTTTTGCATTTCTATGATAAATTTGTTGTTTTTTGTTGAAAAATTGTTGATTACTCTAGAATCATAATTTACGGGCTATGAAGATTTATTGTAAATTCTTGTTCATGTTTAGATGTTAGTAGAAATCCTACTTTTCTTCATTGCGGTTATAATAGGATGCAAGTATTATGCGACTCGATTTTACTCTCATGGTAAATGCAGTACAATGTTGATCTTGGGCTCTGGTAACTTGTTCATTTATGTGATATTAAGCATTTTAGGTGGACATACAGCTGAACTGCTCTCCTATGTTCCTTTATTGCCACAATCATACTCTCCTAAAGTCTATATTGTAGCATCCACTGACAATTTAAGCGCTAAAAAGGCGATTGAAATTGAGACAAAATGTCATAGGAATGACGTAAGTTTTACATTTTTCTCGCGATTTTACTTTAGCTAGTACTTAATTGAGGAGATACCTCGTGCTAGAGAAGTTGGCCAGTCCTTGTTTTCTAGCATCTTTACCACTTTTTACGCATTTATATTTGCAGTTGTACTTGTTTTCAAACACCAACCCCAGCTAGTAAGTTGTCTCATTCTATAACCTTACAATTATGACTTTATTATTATGCACATTTATATTGGATAAAGCAAGCAATATTGGTTTCATTTTGCACACGTTGGGTTTGTAGTTGGTTAGTTTGAGTTCACAAAGTTTGCTCATTTCCCTATTTTATGCTTTGGAAATGGGAACTTATCGTATCTAGTCTTCTTTTGATTGCAGAGGGGGGCAACCATGCTAGTAGAGGTCAAGTAAGAAATATTACGGGGTGTCTGGCTTTGGATGAACTGCCTTCACGGCATGCTTGTCAGTACTTGCATTTCCTGATCCACTTTCTTCTATGGCCAATGCATAATCTTAGTGGCATCCAACACTTTGCCTTTTGTCGTTGTATTTATTTTCTAAATACGTTAGAGTCACCTTATTGATAACAATTAGAAATAGTTTAGTGGAGAAGATGTGCATTGATGGCGCAGCCGTCAGTAGTGTTCAAGGCTTGCTGACTAATCCTTGGTGCAAGGAGTTTGGTTAAAAAGAGAAAATAAACTTGCTATCCTCAAATGAATCTTCTCGATAAATGGTTTGATATACGATTAGTAACCTCCATTAAATTATAAAAACGGTTCTTATCAACGAGCTTTGGTTGCTATCATTCACAAACGCAATCTAGTCTGATACCATTGTTTTTCTAGGCGTCTATTAAACTATAATACGACAGTAGTCGCTCAAGCTACGTTAGAAGATGATAAAAGCATTGTAACTCGAATCATTATTAAAATGTGGTACGTAAAATGTAGGTGACAGAGTCCCTTATTGTTTTTTTTTTTTGATCTGTGATAGGTCATCTTGTCAAATTCGCAATTAGGGGGATTAGGAGTAAAGATTAATGCACCAATGCAGACCTATGAGTTGAAAATTTTATAATCCTCTTATCTACGCTCATATCTAGCTTCGTTATCAAGAATTTCTCTAATCCCTTCAATTGTACTCAATGGCTAGTGAAAATCACCACAAGTCTCTGGTGGTGCTGACTTACCTATCCTCAGAAATACATAGTGGTTGGCTGGTTGTAGTTAGTAAGACTAAACTGCACTCAAATAATTGCAGCTATTTTTAAACGGTAGGTTTTGTGTAATGGTCCGGGGACTTGTGTTCCAGTATGTTTTGTAACCCGGTTGCTCCATCTTATCTGCAATGTCGGACCTTGTGTGAGTGGTTGTGAAGGGAGGAGAACAGCTGTGGTATTCGTGGAAAGCGTGTGTCGAACACGCAGCCTCTCACTCTCAGGTCGCCTCCTTTACCATCTTAGACTAGCCAAGGTCATTGTTCAGTGGCCACTACTCCTGGAAAGTTATCCGCGTGCCCAATATCTCGGTCTTCTTTCCTGATGAAAATACTCAAACCCACAATTTGTGCGGTCATGCCTATGTGGGATAATTGTGTTAAATGTAATATTTTTTGAAAATACTATTCACTCCTTTCCTTCATTCGTCACTTGTATAACGGTACACACAGCCCAGACTCTCCCTTGAGGTATGCTAACTTCAGACTAAAGGAAAGAGGAGGGCAAACCACAAACGCGTTTATAAGCCACTGGCCTATTATCTCAAGTTCAGAAGCACAGGAATAAAGGCAATAAACCAAAATAGGAGTTATTATATGGCTTGGATTATGGGGTATAGGCTTGTATTAAGTCGGTAAGAAAACTTCCTTTCAATTTAAGAAGATTGTTGCATTTCTGTTGGGACGGTGTCTATCAGTTCGATTCCCATCAGAGCGCAACAATTGATGCGGATAAATTGGTCTGGTTGACAGGAGAGTTAGTGTAACGTTGTTTAAATAGAGTACGCATTAGAGGGTATAAGAAAAGGAATGAGCTTTTAGAGAATCAAAGCATCCTTATTTCATCTTGTCGACTATTGTTATCCGGAGAGAATGGGGTCACTACGACAAAAGATTATGTTGCAAAGTGCAAATTTTAGAAATCGGTCCTTAGTTCATAACTCAATGGGTTGTTGTTTTGTGCTTTTAGTTATTTGTTTAATTCAAGTGATTTCTTACTGTGAGGTTATTGCTTGGGAATTGGTGAGAAGTTTGATTTAATAAGGCGTGGGTTGGGGGGGGGGGGTTGAATCAAAAGAACTTTGAATAAGGAAATAAGCTATTTATTTCACTAGCTCATCACGTCATCGCATGCATGCACGCCAGGATTGGGAGGAGCGAACGTACAAACAGTAGCCAATCATTAACCTCTGTTTGTTTAACCTAATCCGCCATCCTGATCATGTTTAAGTTCCCTGCGTGATCACAATTCACGTTCTCTATCTAGTGAATAAACGTATCGGTGATACGTCTCTTCTTCTATAGACTCGGTAATTGGGAGAATCTATCACAAAGGTTTCTGAGACTTAAGCCAGGCTTTACTAGCGTAGAAATCCGCTACACTGGTAGGCAAAACACAAGTATCATGAGCATACATTAAACTGTACAGTCTTCAAATAATGAATAACTTGCCAGATAAGTTTCTGGAATGAATAGAATTGAAAATTTT